GACAGGTTTAGTAATTGCACGAAACCTGAATTGAGGAAGACTTCCGATAAGAAAAATTAATTTATAAGGTAAATAAAGCTGCGATGGTCAAGTAGACACTATTTTGACTAGCCTTAAAATTCGATTTGCACCCCTTAAAAGAAAAATCTCTATCAGAAAAAATCAGGGTAATGTTAGAAAACTGCCTGTGCTTCTATTCGCAGTTTTATTGAATCTCTGGTGATATGGTTTCATCCTCGCAGTTATTCAATCAAACCAGAAATACTGAATGCTTCTAGGAGAAGAAAAAGGCAATAATTAATTAATAATTAATGAATAGAAAATAAAAAAATATTATATGAATAATAAATTATGTAGAAAAATACGAAGTTTTAGGCGCAATAATCGTTTCAAATCTCATTTGAGATTTCCTAAGAGAAATAAAAAATAAAATAAATTAATTACTTGGAAAAATTACAAATTAATAAGAGATTATAGGAAAATATTTCAATATTTAAAATTTTATTTGCAAAAAAAATGGTAGTGCTCACCATTTTTCGTTCCATTCACTATTATTAGAATGACAGATGATTCAGCGATGAAATGGAGATAAATGGGTTGCCAGCATCATCTGGATTTATTCTTGTAGGAGGCAAGGTCCGATTACTAAAATTACAACCATCGAAAACATCGAATATACTTACTGAAAATGAAAAAGAATAGTTTGTCAGTATCTTATCTTCGTTTCATATTTTAGAGAGATATTAAAACTTTTGATTACTTATCTGAAAGTATTCTTCCTTGCTAAAAACTAACCAGTAGAGTGAATTTATCGTTATATTTTCTTCACTTTCTTTATAATGAATAATTCTTTCATGAATAATTCTTTCATGAATTCAAAAGATTGAATTCATTTGTCAACAGTCATGTTTATTTTGAAAATCGCTAGCGTATAGACAGGAAAAGGAGAGATGGTTCGAATGAATTTCAATATTTATGATTCAGTGGATTTAAAAATTAACAAATGATATTGAAATGAAATTTTTGATAATCAACTCGATGTCAGAGTGACTCACATTATCATGTTGATTCAACTCCTGCTTCGGATATGAATAGATCTTCCAGAAAACAGGGTGGCAAAAATTCTTAATAGTACTAATGGAGCTATTCTAACCGGAAATGCCATTTATTTACTTTTACTTATTCGAACAATTTTTTTATGGTTCTACAGAAATTATCAAATGTATGAGGTTTTCCTTCGTCTTTAAACAGCACCATTTCTGGCTTGGCCGGCTGCACTAATTAAATAAATAAAATTCTTTCACCAAATAGTTAACTTTGAACAGAAATACTGTTAGGACCACCATCGGGACCTCACTTTTAAATACACTTTTCATCGGGGAAAATACTTGTTGATCTTAGCAGAAATAAAAAACCACTCGACCATCCTTTTCCAGACGAATAAGGAAACTGATTAATTTATTCATTTAAACTGATTTTCATAAAAGTAATTGAATTAAAGAAAACTTGCCTTTACGAATCGCTTCGATGCACGTCAATAATTATTAATTTTATCACAAATTTGTCAATGATCATGAGTTGGTTTTCCCACTATTAAATGAAATTATAAGATTTTTAATTAATTCTCCGAACCTTTGAATTAGAAAGATTAGACTTAGCACAGATTAGAAGATTAGATTATTTTTGCTCATTTTAAGATTCCTAATGATTGCTTTAAATATTATATTATATTAGATTGCAGCAAAGATCGCCAGACGTTCACCATGCATCTTTGCCAATATGAACTAAACTAAAATAATTTACTTTTCACACCAAAGATTTCAGATGTGCTGAACTGCAAATCTAACTCATATTGTAGCATCAAAAAAATTTGTTGATTGAAATGGCCTTGTTCAATAAAATAACTTTATTCAACTATTCGACTGCATTTAATCGTTGCGCTACAATTATATTCCATATCCCATGAAGACAAAGGCCCCCTACTACTTTTTTTTATTTTTTATTTTTTTTATTTCTGGTTTCGTTGCCTCTGTTAGAGTTGGATCGAAGAATCTACCATAAAAATACCGAGGAATCTCCACAACCACTCGAATTTCGCTCTTAATAAGTGATTTACTCAAACCCATAGTCAAGACAGCTTGATTTTCTAATATTAGTATATGGAATATAATTTGTAAGTGTTGTGGCTCGACCATCTATCTACCTATCCATTTTGCATTTTATTGATTACAATATTGGTCGAATTAAAACACATCGATTTGCAATTAATAAATTTGTTTCAAAATAATGGCAGAAAAAAATTTTAAAAAATGTATTTTAAATAAAATTTTAATATTATAAAAAATGGAATTCAGCAGACTGCTTTTATAGCAGACTGCTTACTAAAATCTATTTTTCCACATTTCGCCTTTTTTATGAAACTCAATTTCGGAATTTGTTAAGTCAATATTTAATATTAATATTTAAATTATTATATATAAGAATAATGTAAAGCAATTTGATCCAAGAAAATGCAGTAGACGTCGGCATCTATGAGAATAATTTCGCTTCGTTTTTACTTCATTAAGGATTTTATTCATAGATAATAAAATAAAATTTCAATAAAATTTTACATTTCTCACTTTAATGAATAAGTTAAATGATTCGATATAATGATTTAAAATATAAAATAAATATTTTATATATAAATAAATGAGCCATAAGGCTTAGTTCTTTTCTGGCTATACTTGCGCCAATGGCTTTTAGTACGATTAGAAATTTTCGTTTGGGAATCATCTGGAGACAAAAATACAAATGAATTACAGGCCAATTTAATAGTTAATCAAGCAGTGAAGTCAATCAAGTGAAAAAAATCAAGCAGTTTCATAAGCACTAAGCCAAATTTTCCACAGTTTTCAATTTTCCAGTTTAATGCTTCGAACTGCGTTTTTTTTGTAAAGAAAAGATAGAGAAGGCAGATACCAGGTTTATAACAATCTCACTTCTGGTAATAGTACCCATGGCTTTAGTCAGCTTCACTAGCTATTCTGACAAGATCCCTTCGCCAAAAAGTCGCTTATATAAGTCGCTTTCAGATTTTAGCACCAAAAGAACTTTGTTTTTTCTCGACACCTGTGGTGGCTTTGGCCTTGAAAGAAAAATATATATCGTCTCATGGTTTTTAATCTACTTTCGTGAAATGCGCTATATTCAAATCCATTAAATGTTTATCGAACATAACAAAAATTTAAAGAATCTTTCCGTTATAATTGCGAAATTTCTATAAATAAATTAGCTTATCCGATTATCTCATCAGTCAAACCATGAAAGGATTTTCATATACGAAGGCGCCCCACTTAAATCGATTGAGTCGATCTTTATGGTAAATATGTAAATAAATATACCACACCACAGCAAACGCACGAAATTGCAAAAACTGATGATAAATCGTCTGTTAACTGGCTTTGCATTTGCTTCGGATTGGTGACGACAAACGGGTTATAATTAAATTTAACAATAGAATAATTTTAAAATGACTTCGAGTCAACAACGTCCCGTGCGACCCTGTGGCCTAATGGATAAGGCGTCTGACTTCTAATCAGAAGATTGCAGGTTCGACCCCTGCCAGGGTCGACCGCGGAGGTTCGCTTCGTCTTTGTCAAATTTTAAGAAATTCTACCAAAATTTAAGGCAAAATTTTGGGCAGATAATATTTTATTTCGAAGTTTTATTTTAGAAAGTCAAAACCAACATATTTTAAATCTTTCGTACTTCGAGATAAAGGAATAAGCGGTCAGTGCATTCCATTTTTGGTGTTGCTTAATCTGCTGGCTGTTAGTGGGTTGTCCTGAAGAGAGTTACTTAACGATAGATTAACGGAGTCACCCACCAGCAGCATATGGATTGATAGGATTTATTCATTTCAGTGGAAAAATAGCCAAGTGAATTCAGATCATCGTGGTGAAAGCCGAGGGTTATTATTCCGCAGTGAATATTTTTTTATATTCAAACACTGAACTTTTCCAACAACGAACCTATGCCAATTTTACGACATTGACTTAGTTTCCACAAATTTTCATATCATTTACAAACTTTTTCGAGGAGCAACCCTCTCTCATCCAAAGTGACGCTGTATTTTTCGTTAAGCTGATATGATAGCCGAGCTGTTATTGCTCAGAATATCGCCTCAAGAGTCATAATGCGAACGCTGGAATAAACCTATAACATTTAAATCTGTGCTGGTGACTCACCTGTGTTTCTATCTTTGCGTGATTTTATCATTGTATGACGCGGTGTGGTGGGTTTCAATGACTTAGTTACCCTTTCTATTTGCTAAACTGAAAGGCAGTTGATAATAATTCACTCACCACTTCCGAATTTGAAACCAAATGATTTTTAATTTCGCAAAAATCCACAATAATAAACAAATAATGCTTTATTAAAGATTTCATTAGAATTTAAATTTTATTAAAAAGGTATCAAATAAATTTTAAAAAAGCCTTTGGATCAAACACTTTGAATTGTTTAGGTTTTTCCATTTTGTTTCCGAAATAATATTATTCATTCAGAAAAAAATCTTCGCAGAGCAGAGATGGAGAAATTCTGATAATCTGCCGTCATTTTGGTCTTTGACTGCTAATTAGCGATGTGGCAGTTGCTAGGAATCCCGCTGTCTACCACGGCAGAAAACCTTGAAATTGGAACTAACGTTGCCATTTATATCACGCATTCACCTTCGTCCTTTTTCAATTATGTCTGCACTATTATGCATATTGCAGTTTGAGCTAGTGGGTATTTTTAAAGTGGTCCATTGGACCACTTTTTCATTATATCGGGAAATTGAGGGAAAAATGAAAAGTATGGTTCCAAGTTTTTTCTTCAAAAATTCAATAATAAAATTCAAATTCAAAATTCAATTCATATTTATTGTGAAATCAAACAACAATCCAAAAAACAAATATAAAGAATCATATAAGAAAAAAAAACAATAATAATAATTAAATGTTTGATAACTTTATAAGTTATTTAAATTCTTGCAGTTTTTTTATAACTAGTAAATTTTCAGTTAATGAATCGGTGGCGTAAGCATTAAATTTTTGCCGTTTTTGAAAACGCGGATGAGAATTTTCTCGCCAAAAATTTTGTAAATCTGATGGGAAATCCCTGAATCCAACATTGTCCGGATTAATTCCTGGAATGATCCTAACATCTTCAGAATTAACTTCCCGAATCATTTAATAATCTAATGTGTACAATTTAATAATCGAATATATATAATCTAATGCACTCTTTATAGATTCAAATTCTATTTACAGCCATATAAATGGCATTCTTTTGAACCCTCACACTAAAGTTTTTATGTTTTTCCGCAGAAAAACGGTAGGGTAGTAAAAACAGTAGTAAATAAAACAAAAAAATAAAGCTACCTTGGAATTTTTATCTTATGGAATAAACTTTTTAAAAATTCAGATCGTTTTTCGTTCATGAAATTCGTAAATTTGATTTACTTCATAATTCGAAGACATGTTCATATCTACCTTGATGGCCTCAACTGAAGATAGAGAATAATATTTCTTAAAGTTCGGCCATTTTATTAAAATGAGCATATGCTATGGACTTCATCCGCCAGCAGAATACGTGAAAAAAGAAGCTGAAATTAGGGCGAATTTAAGATAATAAATTGAAATGTATTTTTGTAAAATCATAAATGATCCATATACAGCAGAGAAACGGTAGTAAATAAAACAAAAAACTAAAGCTATCTTGAAATTTTTTTCCTTACAGAACATACTTTTTAAAAATTTAGATCGCTTTTGTTGAATTTTTTAGAAACATTAAGAAAAGGAACATTGAATAAACATAAATAGTAAATCTAAAAATAATATATGATCCGGCTTCAAAAATTACTTGAAAAACATTCTTCATAGCAAATATAAAAATAAAATGATCTATAAAAATGAAAACCACTTGGAAAACCGAAAATCTGAAAACCGAAGATCCGGATCTGTGAGAAAACTGGATATGTTAATTGAACAAGACTGTGTGCTATGACTAAAACTTTCAATGCTTACTCGGCTTTTGCAACAAAAAAAAGCTATTAACTCACAGTTAATCTGCAAAATGAAAGGATGAAAAAAAAAATTAAAAAAAATGAATGATAAAGAATAGGCAGAGAATAGAATATGATTAATGAAAAAAAATTTAAATTTTCTTTTCAAACACAACTTCAATGATACAAAAATGAAATTCTCTAACTGCAGTTTTTGTCATTCTATTTCTTTTTGCCTAAATAATTCCTTGGGAAGACAGTCGAAATATTTTTGAAAAAATAAAGAATAAACCTTAAAATCGCTTTTTTATTGATGGAATAATGGTTTTTACCCCTCATTATAATGAATATAATGTTACATATTCGTCGTTTAAATGCGATTTAATTCAAATAATTTATGAATATCATAGCCATTGCAGTAGTTTAATGATATGAGATTTTTCGTTGATTTATGGAAGTGTTCCTCAATAATTCCATAAATGATGGGCATATGCCTGCTTTTATACAAAGTTTATTCTCCTTGAAAAATATTTAAAATACATTTTCGATATCCTAAAAATGATTAATTACAAAAAAATATAAAGCATTAAAATTTTAGATTCACAGTCACACTTTCACTTATCACACTAACATCGTAATCGAATTTTGGCTACATAAAACCAGTTTTCAAAAATTAAAAGAAATTTCGTGAAATTTATACGCACAGTGAAAATGAAAGAATGGAGAGAAAAAAGTGTGGGAATAAATTTTCGTAAGAAGGACAATAATTAGTAATAGTTATATAGCAAATGCTACCTATATCGTTATAATAACTCATAGTAAGAAGTTCACGAATAACAACAGCAGGTAAGTGACGACGAAAATGAATCAGCTAAAGCATTAGAAAGTTTTTCTATATATATAACACATTCTGATCCTTTAACAATTTCATTCAATAAGAAATTATCTATAGCTTTATATCTTATATCATATCTATAGGAAATAAATTTATTGCTCGCTTCGTGAAACAAAAATAAGGATTCGATAAAAATCTGCGCTTATCTAAAATAAAGTAACATACCAAAATAAAGCAATTCATCAAAAATAAACGGTTAATTACGGAGTGTAAAATCATTCCGTACTATAGGAGTTATTAGCATTTATATACGATAATTATGAAATACTGTAATAAAAAATATTAAAGAAGCTGAACAAAAAACAAACCTAACGTTCTCATCGATAGTGCGATATATATGGAATCATCAAATTTATAGTCTGCTTGTCTAATATAAGACCAAATCTTTTTACAGTTCTGACGACACCCCAATAGATCTAGAATTTTTATCCACATGTAATCTAAAAATAATCTCTTCTCCAAATGCGTAATCGAATCAGGTGATAAAAAGTCGATATTTTTGATAATCAGCGATCTAAGACGACAATTTTCCGTAGATAAACTATCAAGAATAAATTCATACACTTTTTCTTGTGCATGAAATTATCATTTTTGATTTCGAAATATGATAGTCAGAATTCTTAATGAATTTTTAAAAAATAAAATAAGGCAATATACCAATTTGAATATTAAATTAAGCGCGAAAAATGCGATTCACATTCTTGATTAAAATAAGAACTAAACTGAAAATATCATTCTCTACAAAGAAGACGAAAATTCCAGGAAATAAGGCAAACAAATTCATCATATTTGCTTATATCTGACTGCAAAATTTTCCTCATTGGTATAAGAACATAAGTAGTAAATATGTTTTCTAATATTTATAAATAAAAAAAACCACATTTACTGAATGATCTGAATGATTTTTGTTGCACGAAAATGAAAAGCAATGGACCGAAAAGGCGCCTGATAACTGCACAAACAATAGGATAAAAAAGTGTCGAATTTCGGTGCAAAAAATGCAAAAATTATGGTCTTTTCGGTGCAAATCTTTTTGGCTAGCCAATGCTTGCTGTAAACTCACCCGTGCATACAATACCCTTTCTGTAAATCTATAATTTTACCAGTAAAGACTATCAAAAATTCATCGAAGGTTTTTTGCCAAACGTCGATCTACCGATAATATAATTGCATGATAAATTTTTATACCAAAAATATTTCCATCATTTAGCAACCAATTCACCAAAATCCTGAAAAAGTTTCGTGAACAATAAAGAAATAATGCAATTAATATAAAATCTATTACAATGAAACAATTTCAAAAAATAACTTCTGGAATTCAAAAAAGAATTTAAAAAATTTCCAGTTCCACAAAAAAGCTACCATCAAACAAATACTTATTTGGCATAATATAATACCTAAAAGCGATGTGGCTAGCGTGTTGCTTAGATATCACGTTATCTCATACTGCCATAAGTTGTCATTCAATAGAAGACAAAAATATTCCCAAAGACCAGTATTCTAATCTCCATTTATCACATAGCATTATGCTTATTACACTTCTTGCGGATTGACAGCAGATTTGCTCCAGTTCTTTGCTTCATTACTTTGCTCCAGTCATATTTGTTGAAGATGAGTTGTAAATACATGGAGCGACGACTGCTTTATGAAAAAGGTGAAATAATTCCCTATTATTGCCTACTGGAGCTATTTCCGTATTCATGGTTATGAGACCATGCCAATAATGTTTTTCTAGACCACCACGCTATTGCAACATATCTTCAATGGCCAAGTCTCCTAATGTGTATGTCCTGGCAACCTTTTAAGACAATCGATCTGAACCAATTCACAGTGGCATATCTCAGCTAGCTAACTTTCGAAGACATATCTCTAGTTGCGACCAATATTCTCCAGCCGTTCCAGAAGTATCGGTGATATCAATGATTCAGATTGAAATACGCTTAATGTTCCAAAATCTTTGTGTTTCAAATAGTTATGATAGAAGGATTTCTGCGCGCTATCAGTTTCATGCCGATCTTAGTTCGAATCACAATATAATCTGGTCTGTGAAGGTTTTCAGCGACAAGAAGTCTAGCTATCTAGGAATTCTTCCAATGATGACTGAATAAGATGACGATCTGGTTGGAAAATTGAATTATCTGGAGAGTTCCACTCTAGCAGATTTCTTCTTAGATGCGGCAAGCACGTTTTGTTAGCAATAGACCATATTCCTTGGCAAAGTAATCCTCTCCACTAGCGCCTTTCCATAGCAAACAGCTCGGACTGAATCCTTTCAAAGATGACAATCATTGGCTGTTCTGACCACATTAATTCGAAGCACCATAATGATACAGGCGATATCTCTGCTCCAAGCCACAACGTCCGAGATCCGAAATAACGAAAGACTTGCAACAAGTAACAATATGTAAATATACATACACTATAAATATTCAAGCAGAGATAATAATAACTTTCAACTGAGCAAAAGCGTTCGTTCTGACATTACGCGCTACTACTGCCAAGATCTTGCACAAAGTCGAGGATAATTGTTCTTTTCCCTAATAACTGCTCTGAGCTCATTTTACTGTGGAAAACTCGCATTTTTTGCGCCAAGCATGGGCATCACACGCATCGGAAATGCGGAAGCTACGGTGTATATAACTAGATTCCTTCCTCATAAAGTCACCTGCGGGCAAATAGCAGCCACTCGCGATTTTATGGTAGATCTACTCAAAGAGAGAAAGTCGGAAAAAGAGCGAGAAATAAAAGACATAAACTGACTGTAAACTTTAATATTTAAAGTTATATCTGTAAAGTCATTTTTATTGGAACTTAAAAAATTTTTGTTAATTAAATGTAGAAACTTAGTTCACCGCACAGCAACTGAAGAAGTTTCAAAAAAAGCACTTGAGAATAACAAATGCAACAATGCACGGCGCAATATGCCTCTTGTAATGCACAGCCAGTAATGCACAGTCTTTTATGGCATGAACAACCAAATCTCATCTCATCTCATTCGGTGCTTATCACAAAAAATATTTTCCTTACTTTAATAATTTGTATATGTAGTTAGTTATTAGAACATAATTTGTTGCTAATGATAAGCAATGGACATATTTTCAAATTATTACGATCAAGAAACGAAGCATTTATACAGAAAATTTAAGGCATTTAAGGCCAAACACAGTAGCTATGGAAATTAATTGTGTATTTTGGGAAGACGTCAGTAAGAACGCCTATATGCTTAAATATTGGACACCTCACATCGTCTGACAGATTCTCGTCTGACATGATTTCCGTGGACAGATTCGTCTAACTTCGGTGAAAATCTTACTCATATATAAATACAAGTGCTTCTAAAGAAGTATGGAAAATTGAAAAAAATTAAAATTAAAACATAATTTAGGTGAAAAATGAAAACATACTGGACATAAAATATTTATGCTTCAGAAAATGTATGTAAAAAAACGACTCTGAGTATGATTTTTGGCTACTGCTAAAATGCTTTGTAAAAAACATCAAAACGAGTCGCGGACTGCATCACTGGTGCATCCATTTATTTATAATTCTGTTTTTGATAATCTGATTCCAAAGGGAAACCATAACCTTAAATTCGACATATTGCATTCCAAAATAATTGCACAAAGAAGGTCGACTGGATGTGAATTATTTAACATCAAAACGATGTATGGTCGAACATACAAAGCAGAGCAGCTAACAAGCGAGTTTCGAAAGCAAACTTACAATAAGGAAATGAAACGTTTTATTTTTTCCTTAGCAATCAAGTTAGTAATATTATTTAATTTAATAAATTTCATTTTATAAATAATTCATCCAATTTTATTTAATTTTGTGCACCTTATGTAAAGTGAAATTAAAGGATCAAAAAAAAATTCGAAATTAAAGTCGAAAAATCTTAAAAAGAGAAAAATCAAAGTCTTTAGTGAATTAAATGAATGAATTAAATGTTAAATGAATGATAAGGTGATGATAAGTTTGTCAGGAAAATTTAAAAGCCTTTTCATCGTTTACGATTTCACACAAAACAGTTTTCTCAAAACAGTTGTCATCGGCAGAAGTGCCGTTGCAAATGAACAAAGCTTCTTTATTCAACAATTCATGATAATCAGATTTATCATGATAAATGGTAAATAAAAAAGCAAATTTATTTAATTCTATTCTGTTTCAATATTAAATTATTAAAAATTTAAATCTCCAAATTTTCAATCTTTTTACAAAATAATTTACCCGAAACGATAGAAGAGATCTGCGTTCTGCCGTCATTAAAAGATTCAGGCAGACTGCTAATGGAGAGAGGGGGGTTTGGCCGCTGCCCTCCGCAGCAAAGCCGTCATTAAAAAATTCAGGCAGCGCTGTTCGGTCACCCCCACTTCTCTCACGTACTTCTACGCGACTCGGTAAAAAACTCAGCAGAGTTGATTTAATTATGAAAGGTGAGCAATAACCATTTAATTAACAAAATTTATGGACAAAATAAATCCGAAAACGAACTTTAATTTTGGAGAACAAAAAAATAAACACACTTTCGATGAATTTAAAAGCGAAATAACCGACAAACTTTTAATTGAATAACATCTGCTTCTCGTCATGAATTTCTCCTCTTATTAGCATTATTTTTTCGTGATTAATTCGACAGTCAATCTGAAGGTGATAAGGAAAATAGGAATTGTTCCTCTTTCTCCTTCTTGTCTGAACGGCGCCAAATGGCACGGGCTTATGCGTTCCTTTTTCCCTCCCTTCTCTTCCCTTTTCCTCTTCCCTTCTTGTCTCCAAACTACTCTTTAAACGAGAAATGAATATTTCCAATCTTCTACTCCTTACTCATTGTCCTCATCTACCCTACTTCTCAATCAACATCTGAAAAACCAAATGCGGTCCTGCGCCAAAGAATTGCGGCCCAAAAAGGTTAACATTCATTTGGTTGACTAAAAATGAATCGGTGATATAGTTGATTTGTTGCGATGGATTCGTAAATTTCTTTTCCACTAAGTCGAAAGGGATTTTTTAAATATGGAAAAATAAATCGCTTAGAATTCATTGATCTCAATTTGCGGAAATTACGGACGATTTAAATGTTTCGTGAAGAAAGTATAGTTGATTTTCCAAACATAAATATAATGTTGGGACGAGGATCCGAATGGTCGCTTTAAGCGATCTCAACGAAGCGATCTGCCTTCGTGCGCCTTCTTCGTCTTAATGGAGTCCTCGTGCAAGGCACAATTCGTGGAGTTATTTTTTAAAGTGTTTTAGGTTGTTCGGAATAATTTCGGATTAATTAAATCAGATAAAGATGGGGAAAATCAGATTTAAAAGTGAGGTAAAACCAAGAATGATAAAAAAGGTACTTAAATAAATGCACAAAGATATCCGCGATAAAAAATTATTAAACTTGTATTTATCCATTTATACTAAATAGAGAAAAACATTAAAATTTTGAAAAATCACTTTTAGATTCGAAGGAAGCAAGTAAAATAATTTCTAGTTAGGCTAGCACCGCTGGATGTGAGGAATTTTCTCAGCGAGTCACTGCCGGTAGAAGTATACAAATAGGCTACGAGCATCACCTAGAATTTTTGCTAACAGACTAATTACTCCTGCGGGAACGCGAGCCGAACTCCTGCATCTCTCAAACTCGATAGAAGGAGAATCGTTGAACGTATGGTATGGTCATGAAAGTGGAGGAATTATCATAGAAAGAGAATGATCTGCTATTATAATTGGAAGATGAAAGAATTACAAGCTAAATGAAGAGAAGAGAAAAGGAATCTCCAAAAATCTCCAAAACTTAGTTGACAACTTGCGAAGTCCGATCAGGTGATTTCTTCGTCGAATCTCTTCTGTGTCAATCTGAATAATTTCGTTGAAAAAAATTTTTTGTATTCATTTTGATTTTTCGAACAAAAAAAGGATAAAATATTAAATGCAACTTATTGTAATCTCCTTGAAAATTTTTCGGTTTTTGAAAAGTTCGATTTTTCAACGAAAAAAAGGCGAAACAGACTTAATTCGCCATTTTCTATCGTAATTTTCATCGAGAAGGTCACAACCCAGCGCGAATTCTTATTTAAATAGTTTCCGAAAAATTGTTAAATGTCAAATGGCACAACATTCGCCGCGTTTAGTTTATTCCATTCTCTAACCTTTTTTCCGTTTAGTTTACTTTGCAACACCTCAGTATTTTGCAGTATAAAGATAGATAATCGCAATTTCAATGCATTTCGATGAAATCGCTGAATACGGTTCTATGCCTTCCGAGAATTCTAAATTATGGTTATGGTGCTTCTCCTTGTAAGAACACCCATCATTTCTGATTGCTTTCACTGCCTATCAATCTGGCTGATCTTCTTTAGAGAAGGCTGCCAGTTTTGAATTTCTCTTAATTGCAATCAAGAGCTAAGAATTCAGTCTTCAAGAATTCACTCTATGATATCGAAGCAACATAGCACTTCTATCAACTCGTGAAATTAACTAACAAATTGTCAATCTTTTCAGCCATGCTAAGCTTGCTTTTAATCTCTTTTCATATTTATATCAACGCGAGACCAATTATTGATAGTGGAGAAGATGATACAACTGCTCTCGTTCCACAAAAAATGTCTGCAAAAATTGATCAAAAAGTTATTGTGCCAGCAGGTGATTTTACAATTCATAACTCATTTATTTGAGCTGTAATTTTTCATGCTTTCCATGATTGTCATTCCCAAATAATAATTTGCAGAAAATCGTAATTAATCTTCAAGAAAGTAATACTGAAATTCATCCCACTGATTAATCTCTGATCATACTTTTAGTCTAAGCAAGAATGAAGTTTTTTAAGATTGGTCGAATTTTTGCATAGAACATCTGAATAATGTTTTGCCAAATTGATTTAAATTGTATTTTGATGAATTTCTAGTTTGCATATTTTTAAATCGAATTTGACCTTCGTAAACGTCTTTAACGAGTGAAAGAAAAGAGATTCAAACTGACAACTGAATGTATAACTAATTTTGCATTCCACAACTATTTTTTTAAAAATTCTAAAAAATGAGTGATTTTTTAATGAAAAAATTATTAACAAACGGTGTCATAATCGCTGTCGAAATAATTTGATCTTCGAAGTATCCCAATTCGCTGATGATTTGCAGCGATTTTATTTTTCATAGGTGAAAAAATGTTTATTACAGCTTTAAATCACCAACAAGCACCAATTCCTTGCGTTCTTGATGAACTTGGAACTCATGAACATGGCCAAACATTTACCAAGGGTAATTTTCATTACAAATGCAATAATGGAACATCAGAAGTGATTGGTTAGTTTCCTTCTCTATCCTTTTTTCATCCGACCTGGAGCAATAATAGTATCAATGGAAATTTTTTTTACTAATATTTAATGCTTTCATTTTGCATTGCATTATTTTGGGACGTTAACATTCTAAAAATTATAATATTTATAATATTTACATCAACAGAGAATTTCCTTTGCGATCAGAATGATCGAGTGGTGCATTTGCTAATACTTAATAACCATAAGTTCAGTTCTATTCCTTTGATGGTAGATATTGTGCTAGCAGGTGATTTTACAATTCATAACTCATTTATATGAGCTGTAATTTTTCATGCTTTCCATGATTGTCATTCCCAAATAATAATTTGCAGAAAATCGTAATTAATCTTCTATTGTAAATAGAAGATAGAAACTATTGTAAATCCGATTGACAGTGAATGAATTTAGCTACTTCTTTCAAAAATAACAAGTTTCCTCCTAACAATGAGTGGAACTAGCAAAAATCTAAACTGGTCAGAAAAAGAAGAGCTTTAATGCTAAAAGTTTTGATTTCCATCATTACTACTAAATTGAGAAATTCAGGTAAGTGTAAATAAGTATAAAATTAGACAAACAGGAAAATTAAAATTCAATCTCATTCTCCACATCGATTATGGGCTAAAGAAAGATTATCACCGAACCATTTGACAATGTACAATTTAGCTTGTGTGTCAGATGATAAATCTGTTATACACGTAGGAAGAACGTTCCTTCATGAAGGTATCAAACACAAATGCTCAGTGAATGGGGACATTGTCACTTATGAAAAAGGTTTTGTATATAATCTTATTTCTATGAATCCAAATTTCAGGAAAAAATAAGGAACAAAAGTTACATTATTATATGATATTATATTATGATTATTATATGAGAATTGCTAGAGCAAAAATCATATATGAAAATATTTATATATTGTTTCTAAAAAATTATCCCCACAAATTGAAAATTTTTTCATTTTTCATTAAGAATCTACGTGCTTCGAAAATGGTATTCACTACAGTATCGGTGAATCTTTTCGAAATGGTTCATTCAAAATGGTTTGTGAAGAAAATGGAATTTCCATAGCAGGTGACTGATTCTTTGCTTTATTTCAAGATTTCCCCTAAGAAAAATAGATTATCATTTTCACCAAATAAATGAAATATTATTTTTATAAATAGGTGCAAAATAGCCGAGAGAGTAGATTGTATTAAGAGGAAAGAGTTCGATTTTCTACCATTTACCGAAGTGAACCTGTCATCAAAAAATTGCTGGCCAGAAAGCCAAATCAGAAATGGTGAATAATAACTGCTTAAATATTTGGCTATGATATAAATAAATATAAACGTAAGTAATGTATATAAGAATCTGCCATATTCTAATATATATATTAGACTCTATTCTGAACTTCAATTTTATTAAAACCGTTCACAGCTGATACAAATTTGGAGTTCTTTGACGAATTTTCCGCATTTATACATATCGAGATAAGTTACTATTATTGAAAAAAATGGGAAGTATTTAATTATAGATAATTTTCGAAGGATTTTTTAACATTTTGGTTTACAGTAGGCTGAATGGGGAAAAAAACGTGGTTCCACCCTTGGTGCACGGAGAGCGAGGCACTTCGTCTATCTCCACCCTCTTGATAAATAGTAAAAATATAATAAAAATTAAGTTTAACCAATAAAAAAACTGATACAAGCTGGTGGATTGGTTTGGATTTTTCATTCATAAGAACTTCGGGTCCAGTAACTACAGAATCATGAGGAAATGAGTGGTAGTGCGAAAAAAAAGAAGTGGGAGAAAATAGGAGCCTTGTGGTTTTTCGCATCTTTCGTACGACTTTCTTCATCTTCTAATCTGTTTTTTATTATTTATTTTACATTCCTATCAATTGCTATTTATATTGTCCACAATAAAGTTTGAGGTTTGAAAGCTTTTTATGTTTACGAAAATTTAAATTAAATTTAAATTTAAATTTAATTATAACCCATGTGATGGACATTGATGTAATTCTCTGGGATCAGTTAGAAGATTAAGAATTAATTTTTAATCCACTACAAGGTGTTTCTGTGGCAGGGGCAAGTCATGTCGAGATTTATCGAAAAATAATCGGATTCGAGAATCAGTCCGGCGTAGCTTTCATCGGCGCCGAATGCATCATCTCAGTTATTGAGAAGTTAACTCACATCTCATTGATGTTTCGATGGCTTAATGGAAAATGAGTTATTTGATTCACATGATAATAAGACGATGGCATCAACAAAACGAAACTTGGTGCTTGGCAAGATCGGATAGAATAAAAAAAAACAAACAAGCCAATGTGCTGACAATCGTTCTCATCTCAAAAAAAGGATGTAAAAAGCCTCGCATGCAGAGCTAAACAAAATTAGAGGCGAGACGACCTAAAAAGTAGCTTTTGCATTTTCCGTTGCAATGGTAGCATAACAAATATATGCAAATATATTTAAAGCATATGTTATAGCAGATGATTCCTTACTTTTTTACTATATAAATATTTGTATGCTTTGAAACGAATGGAGTTGTAAAAAAAACATTCTCTGGTTCTTCGTCTATTTTAAATTACAGCACTACTTACAAAGCAATGGATTTATTTACGGAGAGCAAATGCCACACTATGAATTATATAGCAATCTCTGTAAGGATTATAAAAACAAATCGCTAAGACAGTACAGACAAAAAATTACTCTTCAGGATGCTATAAGCACGATACGAACGATTTTCTGCCAATGGGTAGCGTTGTTATAAGTGATAATATCCGCCATAAATGTGAAAAACTTGGTGAAGGCAAAATTCGGTACACATCATCAGGTAAGATTTCTCCTCGTTTCTATGACAAAAAAAAGCAATCGAAGAAAATTATTGATGAGAGAAGAAAGGTTATAAGCATCATCACAGTTACATTTTCGTAATTTGCCCATTTCCATTCCATTTTTCATTTGCTTACTCAGTTCTATTTGTTAATGAACTCTAAATAACGGTGAGCTAAAAAAAAAAGATTACCAATAATTTTCGATAACTTCTTCTTCATCTTTTATATTTCCATATATCGAAAAGCACAACAATTATTACTGACGGTCTTAATATAATTCAATTCTTTCACCTTGAGCGGTTGTATTTCTATTCCGCTGTTATTTTTTTCGGAATATTTTTAAAATTTCTATAAACTGCGACCAAACTTAAAAAATATTATTTTTTTTATATTTTTATTTTTTTTTATTTTATTTTTTTCTAAGCTTAAAAAATAAAAAATTGAAATAAAATATATATATAAAATTTATATCAATATTATAAAATAAATAATATTAAAAATAATTATCTGTCCTTGACAGGAGTAAACCTATCATGTCAAAAATCCGAGTGGCTGCTGGGGACTTACCTGTAATTCTATCTCCAATTGACTCGGTGGTGAAAGAGATGTTCTTGACATGGCGTTCGCGTCTTCCATGATACTCCCAGCCCGGCGATACATGCGATAAGTATACAATTCGGGCAGAAAGCGATCCTAAGGCTGATAGATAAAATGTGCTAGCAAGCCAGGGTTATTGCTCGAAATCTATCAAGGAGAACAGCTATCTGCACGCGCGGTGAGGTATTAGTCGTATCAGCGTAGAACGCTTATGGATGTTGCAAATCAAGCGATTTCTGCCACTCTTTCTAAATATCGTTTGGATATCGCTTGCTTATCGACGGTGTCTTCCTCATTTCGGGTCTTCCTCATCTAAGCAATTATAATCCTGATTCAGAGCAGAGATGCTGGTTATATCACTGTGGTGCTTCGGATAACTCGTGGTGAAATGGCGTAGCGATTTCCATGTTTGACAAGGCATTTCCATGTCTGACATTCCGCTTTGAGTGGCAACCAGTAAGCGAACGTATGGCCCATGCCCGTTTCTGTAAGTTCTGTAATATCTCGATCGTCTATGCTCCAACTTTGCCGACAGATGACCGTGATAAAGACAAGTTCTACTCGGAACTTGTATTTTGTCTACTTCAATCGTTAAAAACTATATCTCTACCGAAACATACCATGGTTATAATCGGGCGGACTGGAATACACGGGTAATACCGCTGCAGTGACCTCGAGAATTGGCAAATATGGCATTGGAGATTGTCAATGGGGCAACGCTCTTCGTTATGCAGAAGAGCATGAACTTTTTGTTGCTAATATTTGCTTCTGGCATCGTAGAAAGCATCTAGTCACGTGGATAACCCTCTCCGGATAACTAATACTTCTACCAGACTGATTAAATCTCAGTCAGTAGCTGTTGGAGGAGTTCCGTGCTAGATAGTCGTTTCTATCGCGGCTCTGAAACAAACAATCTTCATGGATATTATGATTCGAGCCAAGATCAGCATAAAATTGATAACTCGCAGAAAACAGCATCCCAAGATTTTTCAACCATCTTAAACTAAAAAATTCGAAGACAATGAGCGCATTTCAAACCGAATTATTGAAATATCTCAATGGTACAAATATCAATGACTTTTCTGGTAGGGAAAATGAATACTGGTCCAAACTAAAGGATGACCCCAAAAGTCAGCCACTTCCACGCTAAGGTATTCTAGTAGGAATTGCGTTAGTAGGGCTCGGAAGCAACTATCCAACTGTCTAAAAAAACTGCCAAAGCATGAATGTCAGAAGACTGGGTGCTTCGAAGAATTGCAACGAAAATAGTAGTACGACGGGAGAGAAATCAATTGGAGCGACATTGTCTGGAGAATGGAGACGGTAGCTGGATTAGGTGATAATAGGAAACTATTGCGCCTTCTTCAGAAAGCAACTATTACGGAGAACGAACAGTGAAATGGTAAGGGGTAACAGTGGTGTGTCTGTTAAGAGTATTAAGGGCATCGTCTCAAAAGATGGAATGAATTCTTTGAGGCCACACTTAACCATGACGCGCCATCTCTTAACCCAGACATAGCTGATGCGTTCGTCGAACCATACGCTTGCAATTGTGAGCCGCTAATAGAAAAAGAAATAATCTCTGCTATCCATAAACTTAAGGCCAATAAAACTCCGGGAGAGGATGGTCTCCGGGCTGAAGTCTTTAAATTTTATCCTTCGCCTTTCATAACGCAGCTTCAACTCTCTATTATGGAAAAAAGAAATATTATCAGATGATTTGGATCAAAGCAATTCTGCTCCCAATTCTCAAAAAAGATGACAGGAACATACTGCGATAATTATCAAAGAATCAGCCCACTAGACGTCTCAGAGAAAATTTTTGCTTCCCTTTAACTCAATAGATTTATGGTAGTAGGATGCCTCCTAATCAAGCTGGATTTAAGCCAGATATTCTCGTTAAGAAGAGTGTTGGAACATCGCTTCAAATACCAGCAACCCACCGTCACTTGCTTCATCAATTTTGCACCAGCTTTCGATTTACTTGATAGAGCAGAACTCTGGAAAATGATGGAATGTGACGATGTCTTAGAGAAGATCATTCGACTCATGAAGGCATTTTGTATCTTGGCACAGGTCTGGGTATATGGGGAACTGATAGACTCCTTCGAAATAAGAACTGGTGTCGGTCAAGGTTGTATTTTTTCCTTCACCATATTCGACTATAGACTGGATAATGAATACCGCTTGTTGACACTCAAGAGGTGTCCAAATCAGTTCAGAGTATTGTATCACAGATCCTGAATGCGCTGATGATGTAGTCCTTTTTGCTGATAACTATAAGGAAATGCAAACAATGAAAACAACGTATCAGCAATTGCAGCGAAAATCGTACTCAGGTCAAATCAATATAAATGAAAGTTTTTTCATCTTATATATAAGGAGCTGATAAAATACCTATTTTTATAAATCCATCCATTTGAGGAAGTGGCCAATTTTAAATATCTTTGATCCATTCTTTGATCAATCCTAAATAGCCATGCAAAGACGAAATTACAAGTCGGATAACGGCAGAAATCACAGAGTTCATAGTTCGAGACTTTAATATTGCTTCAATTGAAGCCAAGCCAAGTTCAATTCATAGGGCCTTTGATGGAAGAAAACTTATCATAAGAAATATGGATTTCATTTGTGTTAATTTGTGCTGATCCATCGGTATTTCTT